CCCCTGCTATAGAGGAAGGCAAAAACCCACACAGTCTATCCAATCTGACCGTGGGTTCCTGACCCCAAATGTAGCAATTGGTCTGACCCAGAGTAGAAGGGCAAGATCCTCTAGCTAGGAATCATGTTAAAATCTATATTGATAGTCACTAGTTGGTAGAACCAATTGAAAAACAGAGCTTCTAATTTGTGGGAATTTTATTATTTTTAATTTTAAGTTTGCTTTGGGTCTAAGCTGTATCTAGATTTAAAAAGAGAGTGCAAGAGAAAGAGAGAAAAGAAAGAAAAGAAAAGCAATTTCCCGTAACACAAAAATATGAATCAATTTTTGCTTGCAAATACTATAGCTAGAGCAAAACTGACAAGAATGTCAAGGTCACAAAGCAGGAAGCAATTCCCAGGACCTAGGGCTCCCAAGCTATCCTTTTGTGCAGGCTGCCCTGGGGAGAAGAGCCCATTTCAAGATTTCTAGCTTCCTAGCTCCATCTCGGTATCAGGGACTAGAAATTCAGAGCCAGCCATGGTTTTCAGGCCTGTCATGCTCACTTCTGTGGAAATGAGAACCAAGTGTCATTTGGCAGTGACAGTCTTTGAGGATCTTGCCTTCAGGGCAGAGAGCCTGGAAGTCCTAGTATGGCTGTCTGCTCTGGAGCTGCAGACCTTTCTGTGCTGGGAAACCTTGTGCAGGGGCAGTCCAGCTGGTAGCTGTGTCCCAGTGCCGCAGAACCCCATATTCTTACCAGGAGATGACTGCAGGGATGGAGAACCTAGCTCTGAATCCATGAATCCTGGCAGACCTGCTGAGTATATTAAACCAGCACCAGAGACCTATAGTTCCAGTCCTTGGGTCTGGAGCAGACTCAACAGATGGACTTCCCCAGTGCTGCTGACTCGGGAAGTGCCAACCTCCACCTCAGATCAGAGATGTGATAAATAGCGCATTTGATAGTGAACCAATTGCCATTTTCTCACAAAATGGTTTCTTCGGAAAATTTCTGAAACCCCCTACCTAGTGGTTTCAATTTGGGGCTGATATTTGTTAGCACTGTTCCACTGACTCTGCAGACTTCAACAGAACTAAAATGACCATGTCAGCTGTGGACTGGGAACAAAGGTCTAAATCCTATTTCATCCCACAAACATCCGAAGTGTAGCCACTGGAAAAATCCTGATAGAACTGATCAGAATTAGGCAGCTAATCTTTCACTTGTGCAGGTACAGAGTTCTCCTATTGTTTTAATGTTGAGCAAGTATGCAGTTCACCCTTCAGGAGCACACAGCTCTCCTCTTCGTTCAGTGGGCAGCACTTAGACACTTCCAGTGCAACAGAAGAGGCCTGTGGATCACTATTTATTCCAATGTGGAATTTACATCTGTCCTCAAATGCCTCCTTCTGCTTGCAATCCTGCTTCTGACTGCATAAGGCATATGAACCTAGCAGGTCCTGGCAGCTAGACACCTATACAGGCAGTGTGAGGCTCTTCTTCCATCACAAACAAGTTAGTGGTTAGAACACTTGCCCAGGACAATAGAGACCTAGGTTCTTGGCTCCCCCTCACCTTTAGCAGTTTGAATCCACACCTTATATGTCCTAGCAATGCCTTAAACCGCACCCCCCCCAAGCTATAGGGAAGACATGACTGGAAGCACCTTCCACCCCACTTCTCTGCAAATTGGTCAACTGGACAGTCAAAAATACGAGTCATGGTCCCAGACAAAGAGTAAGTCTAACTCTGTGGCCAGGGTGGTGGGAGGACTCTGCCCTGCTCTAGAAAAGTGAGAACACTGGGTTCTGACCCCTGCTCATACATGTTGCCATTTTAACTGCTCAAAGCCAAGTTCATCCTAGAAACTGATGTATGGTTGGAATCATGCCATTGTAAATCATGATATGATGTTGGATTGCATTTTAGTAAGAGGGGCTGGATCCAGTCCAAGGGTAGTTTCATCAACACAAGTAGAAGGGGACTATGACCCACAATGCCCTCTGTAATGCATAATGCACAAACAATACTGAAAGCAAGAGCTTACTCCCCACAGGCACCGTGAGCCACAAAGTCAGGCTACCTGCTGTCTGTTCTCCCTCTGATTCCCTCTGAATCAAGGATGTTTCCCTCCTAACTTGACTCAACAGGAAGACCTTCACCACCTGCCTGATGAGTAGTCTAATGGTAAGTAATGGTGAACAGGATTCATTAGCGGATTCATGGGAAGAGGACATAAGGTGGCAATTGCTACCCCTGCCTCCTGGCTGTGGACCACATGTGTAGTAAGGTTGTTTTCTGATGTGGGAGATCAGGGTTCAGTTCCCTCAGTGGCAGGTGTTCCCCAGATCTAGATCCCCATGGTCTCCCTTGCCTTATGCTGGTGTAGGCTGCTGGGCAGAAGGTGAGATGGACACACATTCACCCACAAGTCACAGCTTTTGGCTGTCTGTGGAAATCTTTACACGTGCTCTGGAGGTGGGGGGGCGGGGACTTTAATTAGAGCAGCTCTCGAGAGCAGTATCTCATATATCGCAGTATCTCATGTATTCAGTGTCCTACACTTCAAAGTGACAGTGGGGGCTCTTTAACTAAAGCCTGTTGACTGTTCAAGCACCCTTGGTTCCATTTTGAAGTGTGAAGATGCTGAATATATGAGATGCTGAGGCTGCTGGAGTGCGTTAATTAGTATGCTCCAGCAGACTCGATGAATCAAGTTTGTTCTGATGTACTATTTACTGTGGATCAGAGCAGGCGTTCTGCATGTTTACAGGCACCCTATAGTTTTACAGATTTATTTTGTGCTTCTGTGTGTCCATGGTGACATTGAATTGCAGCAGAGTGCAAGTTGACTAAGGCACCTCCAGCAGAGCACTGAATCAGTTCTGAGGTAGGGACACTTTTACTCACATTGGGCAGAACTGGAACTCTGTAAAGAATTTAGCTATGTACAAGTGGCTGAGTCCATTAGACGAGGCAAAATAGGATGCAGCTGGGTGATTTAAAAGCCTAAAAATATATATAATATCACTTAATGCTTCATAGCAGTGAAAGAGACTTTGGCCCCGAATGCTTGGAACATAGCATGGGAATATGCATTATTACTTATGCTAAATGTCTTTGAATAACAAAGCCTTGCATTCAACACTCTTACATTTAAGCTTCCATTATGCTCTGAGTTCTCTTTTACAAGTGGGATCCTTAGGTGGGCTAGATAATGCATTACTTTTTCTCTTCTGGAGAGCTAAATTTATATGCTGACTTCAGGCCAGAGGTGAAAATTAGTTATTTCTAGTCTTCATTTTTACATATTATTAAATCATCAGAACAATTCTCAATCTGTGTTTAAAAGAGGGTAGGAAGGTAAAAGTATAATATCAAAGACATTGTAGGTCAAGAGTAAGGTAAATTAGAGAAGTAGCTGGAAAAAGTCTGTACAGCATGTGAAAATACTCTGCCTGGCTTAAATCAGTACTATTATCTCTTCCCTTTTGTTAGTACTAAAGATACTCATCATTCTTTTAACAATATAAAGATAGGCTTATTGATCTCAGTGCAGAAGAACAATCAGTCATGGGGAGATATTGGTAACACTTTAAATACTTAGACCCAATTATTGATATCTCCTAAAGGGATTACATTTGCCAGATGGTTCTGATTGGGAGAAATAAACTGTCATGTACACCTACATCTGCATTACCAGCTTCCACTTACAATGTCCGCTATTGTTTTCAGTTGTGACACTTACTTTCAATCTGTCTTTTCATGAAAGGGAATTCATTCTCCTGATTAGGTCAGACTAGGCTAAGCTAAACAATGCTTCCCAATTGTCATGGAGTCTTCACTGCATAATGTTGTCAGACTAAAATTAATTCAACTATTAAAAAGTATGTTAGCAGAGATAAGCACCTGATAATCAGTCATGGGTTTTGGTGCATTTACAACAATACATGGTACCACCAGAAGAATAAAGCACCTGTGACAATTATTTAGGTTTTGTGTTGCCATTTGATATACTGTACAGATAATCAATTTGTCAGTGTGATCACTTGTAATGAGAAGCCAGATAGAAAACACACTGTCTAGTAGACTGACTGGAAAAAAAATCAGTAGAACCATTTTTGTCAAAAATATATTTTTGATGAAAACAAACTACTGAAAACAAACTGAAATTGTATCAATTGTACTAAAATGTTGCTCTGGGGAATTTTTTTCTAAAAAAATTCATACAGTATCAAAATATTCCATTATCCTAATGTAAGATACCACTCGTAAGAGAGGTGACACAACTAGGGCTTTATGTTCTATCACCCATTCACTGATAAGCAAATTCAAAACTTGCTGTCTTTAGGAGACAACTCTGAGGGTGAGGGTGACCTCTTAGATGTAAAAACACTTTCAAGGATTTAGACTGTGCTTTACACATAAACCAGGGTAAGCAGCCTTGCTCCAGCAACATTCTCCCAGAAAGCATCATATCCCAGATGGCCATTTAAGGTATGATTACTCTGCTACTTCAACAGTGTCTCCAGGAATGGGAAATAATATTTTCTGTTGGCCTGAAGTAGCAGTAACTGATAATGCCACTTACATTGACTCCGCTATGCTGGACAATCAATTTGTATGGTAGGAGCAATGGTTCAGTTATTTTCTGTCACTATTCGCCCATCTGCTCGAAGGGAACATATAGACATAGGCTCCAACCCATAAATAAATCCCCTGGTGATAGGCACCTAAATACCTTTGTGGACCTGGGTCTTAGTTTTTGGGCCAGCTCTAAAATTAGCACACTTTTTATACTCTCACGTACTTGTGTCTCAAGTATTTATGCCATTTAAATTTCTGCATCCATAAGTAGGTTTTTAACAATGTACTTAGATGTATTAATGATGGATACTGCCCACAGAGAGCAAGGTTTATTTGTATTGTTTGGGGTGATTATGGTATGTGGTCAATTCCTTTTTGTAACAGAAAAATAAACTACTATAGTTTATAGTTTAAGACAAAAGAATCTTACCCGGCTGCCTTCAAATTTTGAACGATCATTGTTTGCCTTTGCTGTCTTTTCTGCAAGCTTCTTCTGTCTTTGTGGGCCTTTTCCAAAGAAAATGTAGTTGACAAAGGCGTATTCAAGTAAGGCCAAGAAGACAAATACAAAGCAACCCATAAGATACATGTCAATGGCTTTAACATAAGGAATTTTAGGCAAAGTCTCTCGGAGATGTGTGTTGATTGTTGTCATAGTCAGCACAGTTGTAATTCCTAAACAAAGAAATAAAACAGTAGGCAGCTTCAATGGGCATCTTACACATGCTAGTAAATCATGCTTTAGTTTTTTTCTTCCCTTTTGGTAAATCTCCTTCATCAGCCTCATGCATCTTAAAAAAATTGGAGAAAGTTTGTGTGGTTAGATAGATAAAAATGGGGGGAAAATTAAGCCAAAAAATTGAGGGGTGAGAGGGTAGTTTTATGAGGAAAGATTAAATTATAAGGCATATATTGATTAATGAGCAATGGGAAGAAGATAGGCAGATAAAATGGTAAGCCACTATGCCAGGTGAATACCAAACAGGGAGAGGAGTTGTTTAGAATGATGCAGTGAGTTATAATTAGAATAAATGGAAACAACAAATTTCAGAGGACAACAGTAAGTACTGCTTCATACAGGAGGCACTCAGTAACCAGTAAGTCAGGAAAAATAATGATCTAGATAATTTATCTTGATTACATAAGTAGGATCTTCACTTCTCTATTTGAGAATGGACACAGCACTTGAAAATAGGCTATACAGGATAAAATCAGTTGGTAAAACAGGAGAGATGTTCTAATAGATATTTTTATGATTTCAGAATTACATCACCTGGTTTTAAAGTGAAGCAGACTGAACAATATCAAGAACTAAGTAAAAATACTGATATGTTATGTATCACAGCTTGCTTTGCTCCAAGAAACTGAAACAAAATTAATCTTTGAATTTGGGGCATAAGAAGCTGTAAACCATTCTGTCGGTTTAAACAGTGTCACTTGCTTTGCAGAAAGATGTATCATAGCATATTTGTAAGATATTTTTGTATATTTTTCAGGTTAGTGTAAAGGGTTTTTCCATCCTCCCCACCCCCCGCCCCCCATACACATAGAGTCATAGAAAAGCAGGGGTGGAAGAGACCTCTAGAAATCCAACCCCCCACTTGGAGGCAGAATCATCCCTGTCCCAACATTCCCATACACCATCATCTAAACCCTACATAACACTACCCTCAACCCTGACACAACATAGGTAAATCAGGGGAATCATGGCAGCCAATTTCTGCTTCTATAAAATGTCAATATATGCTCAAGAGGCCCATGCTTCCTGCTACCGAGGAAGGGAAAGACCCCCACAGTCTGTACCAGTCTGACCATAAGGTAAAATTCCTTCCTGACTCCAGACATGATGATTGGTCTGGCCCTGAGTGAAGGGGCAAGACTCTCTAGCCGGGAAACTCCAACTTTGCTCGTAGCAGGAAAATTGGCACACCCCATTTAAAGTCCCCAGCCTTAGCTGTACCCAATGCCTTTGGGGAGACTTAAAAACATCCTGACACACGTGGAAAAAAAAAAGGGGAGGGGGGGCAGTGGGAGCAACCAGCAAAGCTCAGAAGCATGGAAAATACTCATGGTAGAACATAGGCATAGCTATGCCTAAATCATCCTCAACCAGTGGCTGTCCAACCTCTTCTTGAACAACTCTAGTGATGGAGATGCACGGCTTCCCTAGGCAGTCTTTTCCACTGCCTCACTGTTCTAACAGTGAAGAAGTGTTTCTGAATATCCAATATAAACTTACTTTGTTACAACTTCAAACCCTTGGTCCACATCCTCCTCTCTGGAGCAAGAGAGAAAAGGTGCTTTACCTCTTCTTTTCTGTCAGCGCTTCAAGTATTTGAAGACTGCTATCCTGTCCCCTCTTAAGTGCCTTTTTTTGCAAGCTGAACATACCTAGCTCCTTCAGTCTGTCCTCAAATGACTTGCTTTCCAAACCTTTGTTGATCTTTGTTGCCTGCCAACTCTTTCTGACTTCTCCACAACCTTCTTAAAATGTGGAATTTAAAACGGCACACAGTACTCCACATGAGGCCTAAGCTGTGCTGAGTACAGATGCACTAACACCTCCCATGTCTTGCATCTAATGCTTCTATTGATGCATCCAAAAAATGCATTCACCTTTTGTACAGCTGCATCACACTGCAGACTCATATTAAGTCTGTGATATACCAAGACTTCCAAGTCCTTTTCCATAGAGCTGCCATTCAGCCAGGTGCCCCTCATTTTGTATCTGTGCTTTTGATTATTCCTCCCAAGGTGTAGCACCTTGTGTTTGTCCACATAGAACTTCATCCTCTTAGCTCTAGCCCAGCGTTTCAATCTGTCAAGATTCTTCTGAATTTTTCTCGCATCTTCCAATGTGTTCACAATCCTTCTCAGTTTCATGACATCCACAAAGTTACTCAACAAACTTTCTATGCCAGCATCCAAATCATTAATAAACATTGTAAAACAATTGTGCATTGATCTAAACTATTTCATGGCTTGAAATAAAGTGAAGTTTTATCCTATAACAGCTTCTTTCAAAAATTGCATGGGCTATAACATCCAATTCTGAAATAAAACTAGAACTGTAACTGATACATTTGAGTTATATTTATCAAAACACATTTTGATAAATTCCATGCAAAAGCTTATTACTAGCACTGGAAGAGAGAGGATATTTTCCCAAGGAACAGTGCCCAGGGAGTCCAGCTTTTCTATAGATGTATCACATAAATTACTTTCTTTGTGGTGGAGTTTTTCCTTCTGTTTCCTCCCGTGAAAGGACTTCAAAGTAAGACAGAGATCAAACCAATCCCCGTGTCAATCACTGAGAGTCATAAACTTCTGTAACATATCCTGGAGCATCTAATTAAATTGTTTACCAATCACCCCTTAGAGATTTAACCAGGGAATGTAGAGGTAGGTCTAATAAAGGAACTAGGCACCTAATCTCTAGACACTGAGCACATCTACATGTGCCCCCCCCCCACGGTGCAGTTATTACTGCACCATTTCAGCAGTGCACAGTTATTTTTAGCAGCTATGTTGCCATAATGATGAACTATAACAAGGTAGCTCATTGCTACGGCAACATAGTAGTGGTGTCACAGTTCGTGCCTACCAATGCTACATTACCATAGTAATGAGCTACATCGCTGCAGCTCGTTGCTATAGTGACATAGCATCTGGTGTAGACATGCCCACTGTGCTGCCAAAGTTTCAGTGTATGTCCCCCAGAGTGGACTGTAGACTCTAGTGGTAATCATTGTGACTCCCTATACAGGGCATGGAGTAACTTGGATGCCTCTGAATGTCAATGTCAATGTCATTTCGTCCATGCAGCCCCTAACTTAATATCCTTCATATTAAGTTAGGGGCTGCATGGACGAAATGATGAATGCAAGGGGATGTCTAACTTTCTGCCCCTTTATTGAGCTTAGATACCTGACTCAGATGCAGAGAGGAACCTCATCCACTTCAGATCCAGGAGCCAAAGCCCTCTCCTGAATGTCACTGCTTTATTATAAAACACAGCACGATGACAAGATGGCACTTGCCAGTTGACAAGAGACCCAGCTTCAGATCCCCTCTGAGCCCCAGAGGTTCAAACCTTCGTTTTCCAAGAGTTCTCTGCACAACACTACTGGCCACGCTGGTTGTAGTGTGGTGACTTTCCAGCCTTCTGGTGAAGGTGGGCCACTGTGCTGCCTTGAATGCGAGAATCAAAACATTGCACAGGACCTGAACCAGAGTCACCAGATCTAAGGGAAACATTAAACTGAAAATGTCTGGGATCAGATCAACCAGTACTAAATTCTGCTTTGCCCCTATTGGGTAGGTAGAAGTGGTAGCTAGGAGTATGCCACTTGCTGTACCTACTCTGAATCCTGGATGTTTTGAGAGGGAAAGGCAACATTGTGTCTGTTGCTGCAGTGTACTGCACTCTGACAATTCCCAGGCAACAGCATGGGTCTGGAGGACGGTTCCTGCCAGTTTAAGATAGAACTGCTCCATAACTTGAGTCAGAGGCTGGCTTAGACCAGATAGACCCCAAGATCAAAGGTTAAGAGTCACTTTTTTTGTCTTCCTATACACAACTGTGCTAACCCTGAATGCAGGTGTCGATCAGATGCCTAACATATGATCCTGGAATCTGCCCTTCACTGAAATCAATGAAAAAGAGCCATTAACTTTGATGAGAGCAAGATAGAGCCCTAAATGAGCAACTAGCATTATGGATTTAACAGCAGCTACATTTTTCTACACTGAGGGGAAAACACGCCACTATTGAGGCAATGCAGAATGACATGATTCTAGTGAAAAAGATCTTGGAATTTCAAAATACTGACATCATGATGCAGTCTTTAACAATCTCTGAAGGCTACACTTAATCTGACATTTTAATGTCCCACTCATCCTTATCACATACCAAGGGCAACTCGTGCTGCTGATGCATCATAATTGATCCAAAATGACACCCATGATAAAATGGTAATCAGTATTGAGGGCATGTAGGTCTGAAGAATAAAGTATCCAATGTTTCTCTTCAACTTAAAGCTCAGTGACAGTCTTGGATAGGCACCTAAGAAAGAAGGAAAAAAATAGCATTATTTATATTGAAGAAAGGCACTGAAGACAAAACTCTTTTCTTTAGTTTCCATAGAAACTGAAGCTTGCACACTTGATGGGGTATCTGTAGAACAGTAGGGAAAATGAATTCAATGTATTATTGGTTAGCTGAATTCATGACATTCAAATGAAAGCTAGGTATGCAAGCAATTTAAATTTTAGGAAGAGGAGTGACAGCAAGCTTGATTTTTAACTATCAAACAATAGGCTGAGCATTGGCTAGTTTTTAAAAACAGGTGTGCATGCACATTATTTTACTAAGAGGATTAGCCTACTTTAAAGTCTGTCAATTTTGAATTGTTTATTATTCACACAAAATAGTTATTCTTCAGCTGGCACTTACATAAATATGTGCTGTCTGAAGTGTCAGAAAAAAATCTATTAAAATAATATTTAGAAAAGGACTCATGGCATACTCAAAGCCCTTCACAGTCAACTCAGGCTTCTATACAATTCGGCAAAATGTTTTTCTCTGAAACATTTGTGACCAAAAAAAGGGAGATTTAGGAAAAAGAAATAATTTTGCAAGTTCATGTAAACCTGAGTAAATTGTTTCAGGCAGGAGGGGAAAAAAACAATAATATTGAAATACTTTGTTTTGACATTTTTAAACAGAACTTTTTGGCTTTCTTTTTTAAAATTGTTGCATATCAAAATGTGCCTCACTGTTATTAAATGTATTTTTAAAACATTTGTTTAATTTTTCAAGAAACAAATGTTTGATTCTTAGACATTTTCAAAATATGTTATTGCTGTCAATACAAAATGAGTTTTTTGGGTTTTTTGGTTTTTCAGTTTGAGCAAAAAATCTGTTATTCCCAATGCTCTATGCTCCCATTATTATCTGTGGTCTGATATTTCTGACTGCCAATGAAACTGCTCCAATCATGTTCTCTATTCTAAAAACACCCTCTTAACACATCAAGGCCCAATCCTCCAAAAAGGCTTGATCCTATATCAATTTCCACTGATTTTAACTGGACATTATACATTTCATCATGTTCCAAAATTTGAATACAATAAAAGCTGTAGCACTTCTGGCTATGTGTCTGTCAGGCCAACTGTGCATGTGCCTCCCGGAGCCTTACTAACAGATAGACACATGGGTGAAGGTGGAGATGGAGGCGGCCAGGGTATGCTCTGCTGCACCAGGGAAGGGGGAGACGAGGGGAGTGGGGGCATGGGTTGAGGCCCTGTGGGGGGGGGGCTATGCTGGCAGAGCCTGCCAGCTGCAGCACATGGGGTGCACAGGGCATTGGGGGGGAGGTGTGGCCTGTGAGCACATGAGAAGCTGGAATGGAGGTGTGCAGACAGCACCCGTCAGCTGCAGCATGAGGCCATGGGGTGGGGCATGCCCCCCACACCTGCTCATCATGTGGTACCCTGCAGCTCCGTCCCCACCCTCCCCTGAGGGGAGTGACTGCCAGATGTGGCCATGGGGCGTGCTGGCCATGGCGGCCACTGGGCACCATGCAGGGAGCCTTCACTGAGGGTGTGGGAGTGCCTACCTGATTCAGCATGAAGCTGTGGCATGCCCCCCACACCACTCCCCTTGTGGCACCCTGCAACTGTGCACCATGCTCCAGTCACTTCCACGTGGCACCACCCCCGTACACCCCATGCCACACCCTGAGGCAGCTCCCTGCACTACACAGGTGCAGCCCATGGACACTCCCCATGCCATGCCCCATGATCATGCAGCAAGGCCCCCTGAGTGCCCCATGCCACACACCAGGGCCACTGCCCCTGCCACATGGCCACAGCTGGCAGGCATTCTTCACACCCCTGAAACATGGCCCTTCCCATGCAATGCCCCATGGCTGCGTGCCACATGCCCTGGTGCAGCCATGCATAACACCTCCCCACACACCCTGTGCCATACCCTAGGGCCACTCCCTGTGCCACGGGGTGTGGGGAGAGCGAGTGGAGTGGGGCTGGACCCAGAGCAGTGACACAACCCAGAACAGCGGTGGGGGTGGGGGGCAGAGAGCACTGCAGATCCCAGAATAGTGGTGGGAAGGGGGGCAGGGCTGGACCTGGAGCAATGTGGGGAGGATGCAGGGCCAGATGTGGGCCTCCATCCCTGCTCTGCCCCTCCCCGCATCATTCATGATGGGCATTTTGCTAGTTAGGTCAATAAATAAGCAAAGATTTGCAAACTTTAGCTGAAAAGGATGGTGTATATTTTCATAGGCATGCTTGCCCCTGAATATTTGCTTTATTTAACAGAGTTGGTAAAAATCTTCATTGAACACCTAGTAGATATATTTGACCCTTGCTATGATTTGAGTCAGAAGTGAATTTTAAGGGATGTCTGGCTGTCTCAGTTCATGAATGGATAAACGTTGGTGACGGAATAATTTATCTCACTGAGGGAACCAGACTGAATTTTTCTGTTGTGCAGAACAGTCTATGCTTTTTTGGCAAACAATCCCTCAAAGCACCAGTTTGCTTTATTACCTTCATTTTCTAATGAACAGTACCTCACTTCCAAGGATAAACTCTCTCCTTCAAGCCATGCCCATTTTTCTGCTAACAAAGCTTCATTCTTTCTAACAAAGCTGTCTAAATTATCTTATTTCTTCAGCCCCCTCTTAAAACAAAGTATGTTTAAAAATATAGGAGGGACTGAACATCCTCCTGCTTGGTAAAACCATCAGGGAAGGAGCAGGCTTTGCTTCTCATGGTCACTTGCATTCCGTCTTAGCGTCCCTGGAAACTATTGTTACTAGGGCTGGTTAGATATTTTATAAGAACCCAAAGTTTGGTTGGAAAACCCCAATTCACTGCACCTGGAATGTTTTCTTCAAAATATCTTAGGTTCCTTAAATTATAGCTGAATCTAAGAGGATGTTGAACAGCACCCTGCTTGGATTTCCAGAGTCTCTTTCTGGGTTGGGAACCTTAGAAGCTCTGAAACATAGTTCTACACAACCTACATGGCACATCTACCATGAAGTCAGGAAGATCCCTGTCTTTACCTCTAAGAGCTCTACTTAGAAGGTCTGCCCTAGAGCCAGGAACCCCTGGCTTTACAACAATTTGCCTAGTGGAGGAGATGCACCACATAGACTGCATCAGTGCCAGAAACTCTGGCATACCAGGATGAAAAGCCATGAACATCTGAATTCTAATAAGAGCTTGGTTCCCAACTCTGCTACAGTGTGCTTGGAAGCCCTGATCACCCTGATCAGAACTGAAGCGCTCAGAGACTCAAGTATCCCTGTTACAGAGCCTGAACTCAGAGCCTGGAAGTCATGTGATGAGCTTCCAGGCTTGCTGGTTCTATAACAAGCTCCAAGGACAGGCTGCACAAAAGCCACGTGCAGGGTAGTCCACCTAGCCCAGGGCTGCTTCAGGAAATTGATGTTCATGTCATTTTCACAGCTGCTCTTAGCAACAAAACTGACACAAATGTCAATTTCTCTAAGTGGCTATAGAGTCTTGAAATCCTTATTTGGTTTCTGAAACAGTTTTAGTTTCTCCAGAATACAAATGTATCAGCATTTGTGATTCAAGGGAAATTTCAAACTTTATACATATATATTTAGTTCATGTGTGTGTGTGTGTGTGTGTGTGTGTGTGTGTGTGTGTGTGTGTATGTGTGTGTGTGTGTTTGTATGGTAGACATTGTATTTTAAGACTAATCAAAAAATTCCTTCTCTGATTCTCTTGCTCTGTATAGCCCACAGGACTCCATAAGGGATGGATGAGAAGGAAGATTGTTCTGAAAGGAGGTCATTTTTGTTTTTTTATATGGAAGGTCTCTAGAAAAAGAGGTTTCTTCCTTGTGTAAACAAGGATGCAGGGCCAAAACTCTGTATACTGAACAGGAATTCAAACGTCATTTATATCTGATGATTGATTTCCTGGCTTGCTTAGCATTAAAGTTGTCACTGGATAACCTTTTGTTAATTATGGCATGCTACATTTAGAAATTAATTACTTGGCAAGTCTAGCTTAATTACTTGGCAAGTCTAACTGTTACCGTATTTCTTAGCATACCATAGGTACCTTGTTTTTGATGAAGAACAAAAGAGTTATGACTGCACAGAACTGGGAGACATAATTAGCCATGTTAATCTGAAGTCAGTCAGAAGGCAGGGTAGATATGCACCTTTAGAGACTAACTGAATAAGATATATAAAGAAAACACAAGCTTTTGTGAAACCATGTTCACTTCAGCCGATGCTGTGAACTTCACCAGATGAAGTCACCTTGGGTTCACAAAAGCTTGTGCTGCCTCTATATACTTTATTTAGTTAGTTTTTAAAGGCTTATATCTACCCCGCCTTCTGCACATATCAGGGATAGAGATTAATCTTCAGCTCACTCACCCACTATTTCCTGCTCAGGCTTCGGCCCTCTCCCCCCCTCTTTCCTGCTTAGGCAAAAGCTATAGTTTTAACCCTTTTAAAGGTGAACTGCCAGCCAAAAGCTGAACTTGTAGCTGCTACTGAAGACTGGACTCCAGGGATGGATAACGGATTTTGAAAGCACCAGAATAGTCAGCAAGGTTAAGAAATAGGAGAGTAGAGACCAGGAACAGTTAGCAGACAGCAAAGTTATCAAAGAAAGCATGCTTGATTAGTTGTTGAACAATAAGATCATTAAGAAGAAGAGGAGATCATTGACATCTGTTGAGTGAAGAGCTTTTAACCATTAGAATTGCCAGACATCCAGTAGATTATAATATATCATGAAGTCAATTGACTCTATCACTACTGCCTGCATAGAAATGCCATTTCTTCTGCCAGACAACTAGTTTTAAGCTCTGAGTAGAGTAGGAATCAAACAGTGCAAGCACACTGCTGCACCCCCCACTCTCCTGGCCTCTGTCCCTCCCTCCATGCAGTTGGAAGAGAAGGGAAAGAATAATCTCCATGCTCCTATCTGGGCAAAAAGTTGCTCCCCCACCCTTAAAACATGCACTCCAATTTTGGAAGGCTAATTTTTGGGAAAAAGGTGAGTGTGGTATGCAGATAAATACAGTAATATTTTACCAAAACTGCATTGTTGCTGTTGTTGTTGTTGTTTTCCCTAAAGAACGGCCTAGAGAACAGTATATTGTCTCAGGGCCAAATTCAGGTACTTTTCTTTCCATTGAGTAGTACCTGTTGATTTCAGTGGTATAATTTAAAGAGTACAGTATGAAAGAGGGAGTGAAAGAAAATGGTCTTAAGTATATAGGGATAACAACATGACTGAGAATGCTGAAAGGAAAATAAATAGTTAATCAATATCTGAGTACAAAAAAACCCCTTCATTTATTTAACTGCTTGGTAAAAAGCAATTACTTGTTTCTGTTTCAATTTCATTAAAAGCCAGCAAGCTGAGCTCAAATACCTAGCTCTGAGGCTAAATTAGTCTCTTGCTGTTTTATCCAAGTAGAAACCAAGATAACAGAGTTGGTCAGTTACAGAATTCTTATTTAAATCTGCTCTTCTGGGATATTTCTTTAGCTAATTGGAAATGTACTTTAAGATTGATCTCTCAGAACATGCCAAATAATTAATTTTCAAAACCTATTAAGAGTACCTTCCTTTTTCAAACAAGGAGATAATTTGACTAGAGATTACTATGAAGTTTTCAGTCAAAGTGGGTTATGTTTTTCTTTTCCTGAACAGTCTCTGTTGTACATTTTATCTGGACAGCAATAGAAATATATATATATATATATTTCTTTTTTATGACTTTCAGATCAACTGTTGCAGGACCCCCTTTAAATGTTTGGTCCTTTGCAGTAGAAAACTCTCAAGGTTGTAAAATAAAAACTTTCCTGATATTCTGCACTTTTCCCAAATGAAGAATGAACACTTCAATTTTAAGAATAAAGGCAAGAGTTCTGATGACAACCATACTTTTTTTCTATAACATTTAAATTGGACTTAAAAAAAAAAAGTACTGTCTAGCAACTTATCTTAATGTCATATCTTCATCTAGAAATTGCGTGCAACCACGTTATAGAGTGAGCAACAGTTGGAATTAGGAGTACTGTGAAAGTTAAATAGTTTGGTAGCCAGAAAGTAACTGAAAGCCAAGGATGAGATTTTCCAAGCTGCCTAGCTGATCTGAAGGCCTAAGTCCCATCCATTTCAATAGACAGAGACATCCAAGTACCAAAATATCAGCCACTATCTGTCTTTTTCCTGGTTGTCCTTGCCTCTTAGTTGTAACTATGGAAACAGAGCTTTTGCCACTTCCAAAATATTTTGCACAAGAACATACAGCACTAATTCTTCATGAAGCACAGAAAGAATAACTCACTTTATCTAAAATGACTGTTTATACAACAGCTTTTTAATGTCTGAAGTGTTCTTTTATTTTTCCATAATCTGTCAAATTATTACTCTATTGAAATCTGATCTACACAGGAATTCTTCTCAATGAATTATCTAATATCGGCCTTTGACTCTCTGAAAGGCTAATCTAAAAATGAATTGCACCAGCCTTTTTTCCACAGAAAACAGAAGGACTCATTATCCAGGGAAATTTGGTGAGTCTACAGAGGGTGCATCTACACGTGCCCCTGATTGTGCATTTGTTATTGCACAGTCATTTAGTACTTGCTCTAGCAAGTATTAAATAACCTCAATTACTGCACAGTTCAGCCGTGCATGGGTCATCTCTGATCCTATTGCACTGTAGCAACTAACAGTAGCATTGGAGTAGTGATTTGTATGTGCCAACATAACGCCGCCACAGTGCCAAGCTACGTCACCATAGCTCGTTGCTACAGTGACATAACATTGTGTGTAGACATGCCCAGAGAGAAGTAAAACATCTTGAAGTTTTCTCCAAACCTTCTAGAGGGCAGCCACAGTCATTAACAACAAAAACTACAATAACAACAACAATTAACTATAAGCCCTTACTGGCTTAATAAGCTGGTTGTATGACAGAAGTAGGTTTTGAGGAAGAATTTGAAAGATGTCACATTCGTTTTTTGCATGATGCAGTTGAGATTTTCCAAGTTTGGAGATTTTTGTGTTAGAAAGCATGAAGATAGTTTTGTGAAAGACACATGATGACTTCTTTGGATAGCAATATACTAGTGCCACATTGGATCAAACTTGAGGCTCTATGTCCTGTCTCCATCAGTAGCAAGCATTAGGTGCTTAAGAAGAAGTTACAAAACACTTCACAACTGACCATAATAGTGGTATAACTAGCCCGCTAAAAGTGTCTCAGCTTTATCTCTAAGCCTTGCACTATCTTAAACTTTAAAACATGAAATGTTATATCTCTTCTAAATTTTTGTTAGAAATAACTATAATGATTCTGCTATATAAATATCAAATCCCATTTTTATTTCTTCTACAATCTCTTTGAGATTGTTATCTCATACTTCTTTGGATTTCTCTTTTATGTAAGTTTAACAAGTCTCTCTCTTTCTACATTATTCCTGATTCCATCATAAAAGCATTTCTCACTTATTCAGACTAAAACTTAGCTTTATACTGTCCTAAAATCCTCTCTGAGTCTCCCATAATAAGCAAAAAAAAAATGATGTTCTCCATCAGTGACATGAAGCAAATATTTTAAAAGGCAGATATAGGTGTGTGATAAACAGTTGCTGCCAGGAAATATGGTTGCAGAAAGGAAAAAATGCATAAAGGACTGATGAAGGATTAGGGAAATTGCTTTTTTCCATTTAAACAAAACCTTTTTCTTCATAATTATCAGCAAAAGAGACATGAAACTGCTTGACAAACAAATTCCCTTCAATTACACTCCCAGCAATACATATATATTTTATTCTGAAATACAGTGGGGTTGCTGTGTTCTTTGAAGCAGATGCTGCATGCAAAGAGTGTATGAAGTGATTGCTGTAAACATCTATGTTTAGTTTGTCAAAGTGCTTTGAAAGAATAGGTGCAATAGGCAGCATGCTTTTGTGGTCTAGCAACCTAGAGCTCCTCAGCTGTCATCCTAGTCTTGCCAGTGTCTCTCTGTGTGTTTTGAGCAGGTCATATAGCCAAAATTCATATGTGGGTGTCTAAAGTTACACTCTTCAATTCATGCTGCACTTAGTCACATCTATAACTACCTTTTGTTAATGTTGAAGATCTGTATTAGGATCCTTCCCAGAGATCAGGCCCCTATTAAGGGGAGGGGTGAGTCTGCAGACTACAGTAGGCTTTAAACTGTTTAATGGCAATATGGCATATCGTTTGCTTGACCAAAGTTTACATAAGAGCAGAAGAGGAAAAGGAAATGAGCAGGCAAGAGAATGTCAAAGGTGAAAGCAGTTTCAGAAAGTTCAAGAAAGACAGGCCAAAAGAACTAGGTTAAAGGTTGCTTAGACTGCTTTTAGAGGTTTTATGCCAGTCAGACCTGGTTTAGGACAGGACATGGCTCAAAGAAGGGTCAATAGGCATATGAATATTAATTACAATAGAACCTATCAAGGACATTTCTATATTTTTAGGCTTATTTAGTAAGCTTCAGAAATGAGGCCAGGTAATAGAGTAAAAAAATCTGTGGCCAATGATGGGGACAGCCTGAAAATTGAAGGGGGGCATCCCATAACACAAAATCACAGCCTTCAAGGCAGATGGGCTATCTAGCAGAAGACCAACAAGGACCCATAGTCTAGGAAACAGCCTGGGAAGCAAAGAAGTATGTACCATACTGTCCCATAACACTAGCTAAGTGACACCAGCAACAAGGTCCCTGAAAGCAGGGGGGCTGAGTCCTAGTTTTGGGGGAACAGACCAAATTAGGAGAAGGCCTGGAAGGCTACGTGGACATGTGACCACAGAGAGACCACCAACCAGAGACAGCCATGGATGAAGAGTCATCAGGATTAACAAAGGGTCCCTCCTTTTGTCCTGTCCCCTCTTTGCCCCATCCCTCCCTGTCCCTCTCCATTTTGCTCCCTGAGAAGGGTCCTCATCCCTATCACTGACCCCCAGGAAGGGTCCCCAAAGCCACCATGGACTGAGGGCATAACATCAGTTCCTCTCATCCACCCCACTGGAGGGGGGCTGTGGGCCTCGGCATCCCACCTCCAGACTGCTGACACCTAACAAAGAGAGTCTCAGAGTGGAGCCTGTATCCTGACCAGATGTGCTTTGACTCTGATGGCAGCCCCAGGATTGATAGATATAGAATTGTTTGATTGTTTGTATTGTTGCTTTTTTGTTTTTACTCTGTATCAATACATTCGCCAATTATTGACCGGCAGGTGTTGTGGTTGGTCTGAGGGTTGTGCCCGCCCAGAACAAAGGTATAGGTGCTGGGTCCAAATCCACTGTCAACAACTTTGTCTCTGGTAAGACGTAGTCCTGCTTCATGGGTTACTGCATAATGGATTTACCAGATAACAATTTTTCTTAATGCAAGTATAGTTGGCAGCACTATGACTGTATAATAATATAAAATACTAACATCATAACTGACATGTAAAGAAGCTAACTCTGTATGTACACATGACAAACAAAAAATGAAAACACTTGCCTGTGGCAAAGACAACATTCTTTGACACCAGTCTGTGTTCTACAATGGAGAACTGAGGAAGCTCAATTCTCTCTACACCAGTGACTGCATTATTTCCACCTCTCCAGTAAAACTCAATGTCATCTGTGGTATAGCCATCTGGAAACAGGGCAGAAAATATAAGGAAGAAAAATCACACCATGTTTTAACCATGAAACATCTAGTAGATGGTTTATCTTTTTAAACGTTTGCAGACAGAACTAGGGCATAGCAGTTGAATTGTTGGATGCTATTTTATTCCATATTGGGGATTTTCATATATTATCATTTTGAGAGTCTTTCTTTAAAGAAGGCTTTATTACAGGGTCACAAAGATTGTTGCCTCCCCACTCTTTTTTCTCTCCAAATAGTTCTTCTGAAATCTGGGGCAAGAATAAAAGAAACAGCATGATCAGGAAGTGTCTCCCCTTTAATGCTTTATTCTAGGAGCCTTATTACAGATGGCTGTAATGTAAAAAATCATGGATGCAGCTACATGTGTGCTTTACTGCAGAGTTGACTAATAAGCTCTTCAGTAAATTAATTAACTCTGCCACAAAATAGTACTGTCACAGACAAGTACTATCCTACGGTGCAGTAGTTACATGCACTGCAACACATGTGACTGGAGCTGGCTGGGGCATGCAGGTGCTACATTGTGGGGGCTGCCTGTACCCCAGCTAGCTATCCAATACCAAAACCAAGTGGTGCTTTGTTAAATATCATAAGAGATGGAATAGTCCATCAGTGCAAATTAATATCTTTTAGACAGGAATTTTCTTTGAGGTTCATTAACTCCAGTGGGAAAGGGACAAGAGCAAGTGTAAATGACACAAGGAGTTCAGGGTACCGTGTACTGATATTTTATGTATGTAGATGTTCCCAGTATTCTCCATCATGTCATAGAAATGGAGCAGTGGATCTTGAACTACAATTATAAGGCATCTGAATATTCCAATTACAGGAAATGACTAGGTTGAAGAGAGAATCTGTTTTTATGTAGAACTGAATTCCAGATCATAAATGGGCCTATCTGACAGCCCAGGGGGTCCTGCAACAAGACCATTCATGCATAGTAAAACACACTGAAGGAAAATTCTCTCTCAGTGTTTGTGCTCTTCAAAGTGAATCTGATTAAAATATGAACATCCATTCTCTCGTGTTACAGATAAGCACCCAGTCACTGGCTCTGGCTAATCAGGCTGGAGTGATAAATTACTTCATTCAGTCTCCTAGCCCCATGTTTTATCAACATTGCAGGCAAGCCTCAAATTAATAATTCCCTTACATTTTAAAGAAGGCAAAAAATAAACAAACACAAATTAATTTTTTTTTAAGAATTGACACAAATTCATATATCTATTGGACTATGTAAATGAAAACTCTCTGTTTGGCATGACTTGCATTTATTTATATACATACAGCTTTCAATTTCCAGAGTACAGTTCTGTTCATCCAGTGGGTATCTTCTCAAGTCCATCATACAAGCAGCAGTAGTCGTGATTCTGAAATGCCAAAAATCAAATAGAACAATTCTTGTTTTTAAAGTGAGGAAACGTTGAAAAAAAACACATCTCTGAACCTATTACTACAGGTTTTATTTTGAGCACTACTTTCTCACATGAGCGGTTACACTAACTTTGACAGGACCACTCATTCTGGGTTACTTGTGAGTACTCCCTCTAGGGTTCAATGGTTTTATTTGCATATGTAAATACTATTCAAACATTTGTTAGGCTTGACAGAAGGCAGGGTAGTGTTGGACCTGGTAGACTAACCAAATCAGAGTTGCATAAGGTTTTATGAGCAACAGCTTACTTTGTCATATAATGCTATGTGATAAAGCTGTATGTGCTTCTAGAGCTATCTCATAAAGTGAACCATTGCTCACAGAGGATTATGCATCTGTGATTCAGTTACTCTCTAAGGTGCAACTCCACCATGCCTTCTACTTGAGTTGAGATTAACATGGCTCACTACCTCTCTTCTTAGTTGTCAGGACTGAAGGACCCAGCTTTCTATCAGAAAGTGAAAAGCAGTAAAAGATTTCTACAAATAATAGGATGATCAGATCTCTGTGAACAACAGATTTTGGTGCGTTAGTACTTCTGAAATATAAAAAACAATTCGTTGAACTGAAAAGTTGAAAAAAATCTTTTTTTTTGCTGCTTTGTTACAAGTGGACTGAAGTTTTAAGTGAATTAAAATTCAGTATATTGAGGGTTTCTTTTTAAATAAACAGGGATGTTCTGAAATGAAATAAAAATCCAAATTTCAAAAAGAATGAAATAATTTGGCTTTTTTTGCTTTTTATTTCCAAGTCAAGTAAAGTATTTTGAATAAATATGGGCAAATCTGACTTGCATTTTTGCAAAGTTTCAGCTGAAAAATGTTAACCTGCTATAATGATGATTTTTTCTTTACTGTGCTGCAGTTTTGTCCAGTTTCTTTTTTTACTGACATACCACACAGCTTTACCAAGACCTTTAAACAAAGAAATGCAAAGCATAGTAAGAATGAGAGAATGAATTCAAAATGAGGAAGCCTAATTTGAATGTAATACTACCTTTTCTCTTATTCCCAAAGTTAGCATATTTTCCTAATAAGTTTTAAGCAGATATCTAATTAGTGATCACTACATTCAGATGCGTTTGTCTATTAATTTAAGATAAAAATAATGAAATATGTATATGCAGTAAAAAAACAGGTCACATCAATTATATTAAGACTTTCAACATTAGAACAGAATTTTAAAATTAATGTATTAATATATGAGTACTGCCATTTAGATTCTGATTCAGCAGAGTATTTAACCACATGCTTGGCTTTAAAAATTCTTTAAGGTCTGCTGAATCGAGGCCTAAACCATGAACAAGAATTATGGAAATTCATCATGCTAATATTGGCTTCATGTGAACTTTATATTTATACTATCTTCTGTGTTTGCCAAGGTACAGATTCGAAAACCAAAAACATTGTTTCCTTAACAACCTTGAAAACCCTCACCAGCCTGTCAAGATAGCCTGATGCTTAGGGCTACAATTTCAAAGGCACGAGAAAGCAGTTAAAGTTACACATTACACTTAAACCATACTAAGGGTACTTAAAATTAGGACTGTTCGAAGCTTCGGTCCCAGATTTGATCAGGCAGAGATTCAGCTTGATTAGGTGGCCAAATCTCCAAATCCAAATCAAATCAGAGGACCCTTTAATCTCTCTGAATTGAATCAGAATCCTCCAGAGAGATTCAGAGAGATTCGGACATAGACACAGTTTTAAATGTTTTTTCTACATATCTCTAGGTAGCAGGGGCTCTTGAGTGCTGCGATGCTGGGGTGCACGGAGCGTCGCACAGGAGTGCAGGGGGGTCCACAGTGAACTTGGCAGCAGACCCAGAAGTGGACCAGAAGCACTTCTGGTCCACTTCTGGGTCCGTTGGGGAGCACATGGCCAGCCTCCCCTGCAGCCCCCAGCTCAGTGGCTGCTGCCTCCTGGGTCTGGAGGGCACCCGGGGTCCCCCTGGCATGCTCCCCAGCAGACCCAGGTTCACCACCTGGTGAACCACCGAGCACATGCTCCAGGTTCACCACCGAGCACGTGGAGGGGCCCCCTGCACTCCTGTGGGACGCTCCATGCGCCCCAGCATCGGGAGCCATGCCTGCTACCTCAAGGTATATAGAAAAAACTTTTAAAGCTGTGTCTATATCTGAATTGCTGATTCTCTGAATCAGCATTTAATCTTCAGATTTGGATTTGGCCGAATCGAATCAGGGACAGTGATCTGAATCAACAAATCGAATCACTGTCCCTGACTCAGGCCAAATCCGAATCCAAATTGAATAGGGCCTGCTTCGCAAACCCCTAATTAAAATGTCAGTGTCCCATGTTAAAGTTTATTACCTCATGCAAAATGCTCTTTGAGCATCTCAAAGTTATGCCGCTTCAGGGGAGGGTTAACTCTGGGCCATGCTACCTTGGTCATGTTAGGGTAACTACAATCTGCTCCACAGAGGTAAAATGAGTAATATGTAGTCTTTCAGCATCTCAGGATGTACTGTACTGAGTCACATCCTCTCCTGTTCTGTGGATGAACTTTCCACACTCTTGGAAGTGGAGCCACCAGGGTTTAGCACAGTAGCATGCTTCTCCCACTCTCAGGGGCTCCATGCTCTCACTGCACTAAATCTCAGGGAATTCATACAGGTAACACAGTCCTCTCCCCACCTCCAACCCCAGGATGGGAACAGGGGATGTGGAAGGAAGCCACATCCCCCCGTTAAGCCACATGGCCATGGGAGAGCTGGCAGCACTTGAGTGAAATGGGTCAGACAGCACAGTAAAATTTCAATTAACTTCTAGTAACTGAGGTCAACTGAACTTTTTCATGGCTTTTGCTGGGATCCAGGCAAAAGATGAAGCCTCTCTGGAGAAGGATCGGGTGGCAGAGAGGAGTTTGGGGGAGAGGGGGAGGGCAATCAGCAGGGATCAATGGAGAGCTCCCTGCAGCAGAGCCTCTCCTATCACCCCATTGCTCCAGGATGGGAACACGGAGGCTTGTGGAGGGACACCACAGCCCCGTGCCCATGCCTTTCTAACTCCAAGCTCTTTGCTCCCACCGCTGCAACTTCCCTCCCTCCTACCCCAGTCCTGTCCTCCACAGAGCAAAATATAGCTCAGGTGTCCTGGCTCCTAGCCATGCCCCTGCTTACCAGCCATCTAGTAGCAAGTCAGAGCTGGGCAGGCAAGAAACGGTATTAACTTAATGTGTGACTGCTCAGATGTTCTAATTTTAATACCACTTTAAGATTTCACAGATATAGTATGGTCTAAGTGTAACATGTCATTTCACCTTAGTTTCCCCACTCTTGGAAATTTCAAAATGGCAATCCAAAGTTAAAGAAAAGGTAATCATTATTACTATCCCCTGCCAAAGCCGATGTAATTTATTATGGAGTTTCTACTTAAGCCTATATTGAGGTAAGACATGACAAACAAACAAGGCTGAAGCTCCAGTAATTTTTCTATTGTATTATAAATGTGCTCTCTGTTCCTTCCAGATTTAGAAGAAAAAATGGTTATTTTCAAACATATCAGGTATTTCAAACAGATTGAATTTTTCTTGTAAATGGTACTAGCTGGTGCATAATTAGAATTGAATTTCCAATGGCCAAATCTAGCCTCCAGCAGACATCTGGGGCAATACTATCACACTAAAGGAAACTAATGTGTGGGGAGGATACAGGCAACTGGCAGTGGGTGGGCCTGGTGCAGGTACACCCAGTGGATCTGCTGCTATTCAGATATTCCCATTTTTACATTTATAAGGGGAAGCTACGAAAAAGGCAAAGTAGAATCTGAATCCTCCCACATGGCCAAATATAGCTTATGGAAGTAACAATGCTCTGCTTTCCTGGTCTTTGAACATATTCTATGTTGTTAATATCCAAAAGTTTTAAATTACAAAATACCTGGAATATTTATACCTGGAATACCCAAAATATTTCCTGGAAGAATTCCTTTGGTTGTCCCATTTTACTTCCAACTGCCCAATGGCATGCCTGTCATGGTAGATGCTCTGCTTTTATTCTTAACATGTGTCTCAGTGGCAGGAGTAGCTTATAGACAGTAGTTCCCCAGTTGTTCTGTGGTTTAGGGGAAGGATTTCTCTCCATTGAGCATCTGCCCAATGCTCTGTTGTCTCCTCAGGCAAGGTGCTAGATTTAGATCTACTAATTATAAAGACTAGTCTCTCTCCAGTATAACTATTAACAGCTCTGACTTGGCAGATAAAACTACCACCAATCAGGCACTGAGGAAAAAATAAACAAACGCCACCTTTGATCGGCGATCATTGTATGAATGTTCTAAATGGCAAAATCCCAACAATTATCAGCTTTACAAAACCACATTTCTTATAACATGAGATTAGTTTAGTATGCACACAATTCAATCGGTTGTTGTGATACAAATCAAGGATCCAAACAATTCAGTACTCTTTAATCAGAGTGTTTAACTATTGTCAGATGCCAAGTAGACAGGGAATCTACATTTATAAAAGATATATCTACCTGGCATATTTGCTATAAAATATGAATCTTTCAAACATGTATTTACCTTCAATGTTTGCTGTATGACTTTTTAGGGAATAAACTTTAGTATAAGCCCAGAGGTAACGAAATACTTATTATGCAATTGTACTAATGGGGGATTTTAAATTCCATTATATCTGTTGGATAAAATGTCTAGTAACTTCTTAGGCAGACAAGGTTCTTTGAGTGAATCTGATATCTTTGATTGGACCAACTTAAATAGTTGGAAAAATTTTCTTAGCAAGCTTTCAGGTTTAAAAACCCCTTGTCAGGCTGAGGACGCATCTGCAGTTGGCATGTGCTTCCTCATCTGCAGAGGCTTCCTCAGCCTGATGAAGGCTTTATAAACCCAAAAGCTTGCTAAGAACATTTTTTCCAACTATTTAAGTTGGTCTAATAGAAGATATCAGATTCAC